CACCCCACCACCAGCTCTGGGTGTTCTTACTTCGATTCATGTTGGTGTTTCCCCAGCCAGTGACACAGCACCAGGTGCCATGACCCAGTGGGTCTCCGAGTTTGGGGAGGCAAACTGGAAGGATGAGTTCACTGAAGGTGACTGCGGAGGCCAGCTGCGCCAGGGCAATGTCCCCACTGCCGTGCACCTCCATGTAACTCGGGAGGGTGATGACCTGGGCCACGGCCTGGAGTGCCCAGGGCACCCTGGCCGGGGGGTAGGAGAAGATGGTGCCCAGCATCACAAAGTAGGCTGACAGTGGTTGGTTCTAGCAGCCGGAAATCAAGGGGTGTCTTTAGGCTATGTCCGGGTCCCATGGACAAGAGCTAAAGACAATCTTGATTTGAGGGTCCTAACATTACAAAAGGATTTTTGTGTGAGTTGAGCACATGCCAGCAATGACAAGCACCTTGTTTAATCCACAAGCAACCCTGCACGGTGCCAAATTCTTCCTATTTGGGAGATGAAGTCACCTGTCCAAAGGCCGCCCAGTTGATAAGTAGTGGCCTTGAAGCTTTGGATTTTCAAGGGACATCCTAGTGTGGGAGCTTTTGTTTTCTGGAAAGTGAATGCTTTCTTGGGAGGGCCAGTGCTGAGTCTGTCTCCTCCCCCACTCTCTCCCCAGTGCCCAGCCTGGGGACTGGGGGAATCCTGAGTGGATAAGTGAGACCCTAGGAGGACACATTCCTGGCCTGTCTCCTGCCCAGGCTCCTGTTCAAATGGGGAAGGGAGGGTGTCGGGGAAGGGTGAAGGGCAGGTCCCAGCTGGCCCTGGCTCAGATCCTCGCCGGCTGAAGCAGTGGGCTGCAGTCAGCACCCAGTCCTCGGTGATCAAGGAGCCCCCACCCACATGCTGTCCATAATCCCTCAGGCTGACCTGCCATGGCCATTGGCCTGATGCAAGTGCGCATTCACACGCTGCAGGGTAAGGCAGTGGCTGGGTTATATGAGGTCCCCTCTGAGCTCTCCTCACCCTGCAGATCTGCCCTTGTTTATCCCTGCCCCTTGTGGACTGACATCTTGTCCCCTTTGATGTAGGACCCTCTCTCTATGAGAGGACTTATGACACTGCGGGGAGCTGCACAGCAGCTGAGTTGGGGAAAGTAGACCTGGGGGCCTGGATTGCTCAGCCCAGCTTAGTGGGGACAAGTAAGGTCAGGCCAGCTTGCGGAGGGTCTGAAAGCAGTGATATAAAATGCGTCTGGCAATGGAGTTTTGGTGGAAGCCAGAGGTGCTGAATCTGGGGGAGTGGATGCTGGCCCCCAACAATTGGGTTTCTTAGAGGACCTGCCCAAGTACAAGGCTATCAGGACAGGGTTGGGATTACATATCTCTCTTTACCTGTCCCCCAAAACTCAGGCCTTCTCTCCTGCACTGCCTGTCTCCTCACCCCGATATTTGTCTTACCTGAGTCCAGGTTTATCTGTCTGGCATTTTCCAAGGATAGGTTGAATGGGAGAGCTGGGGGGCTTCCCTAAAGGATTTGCAGGAAGGACAGCAGGATGGCCATGAGGGCCAGCTCCATAGTACCTTCCAGATGCCACTTCTGGGCTGACTCTTGGGGTCACAACGTCCTCAGACACACTCAGGAGGGGGAAGATGACTATAGCTCCAACCCAAGTGTCTGGGCCTGTCCTGGGGTGGGGCTGGCACCTCTACTCCATGTCCCCAGGCCTTTGGCCCTTACACTGTTCCTGGGCACAAGGACCCTGTCCTCTTCCACATCCTTGGAAAGGCCCTCAGGCCTTCCCTCCCTGCCCTGGCCCTGGCATCACAGTACCAACCTCTCCCACCACCTATGGGGCACTTACGGTGTACCGGCACTCTGCCAACCATGCCACCTGCCTCTTGCCTGATTCCCCAGGAGCCTTTACGATCCCCATCTTATAGCAGAGGAATGGAAACTGATGGTTGAAGGACTTGTTGAAAGCCCTTCAGGCACAAAGTCAGATAAATCTACTTGGTGCTGTGTGTGGTGCCCAACACCCCTGGAGGGGGAAGGGGTGGGGGAGTAGAACTGCAAACTCTGGGGCACATCCCACTTTGCACCCTTAAGCATTCGTTTTCAACCTGGGGCTCTCGAGGGCCTGAGGTGGGACCAGAGTGTCTGGGTCTTGAGAAGGGGACCCTTTATTCAAGGAGGTGGAGCAGCTGGAGGAGAGGAGGGATTTTCAACCTGAGAAGAGGACACCCCAGTGATATTCTCCTCTGACCACAAGTAGCAGGCACCTTGACATCCATCGCCCCTGCCCTGGGCTGCAGATGTGACCCTGGCCTCTTGGTCAGAGGCCTTACAGAGGTTGTGTGGACCAGAAAGGAGAGCTGAGCAGCCTTGGGCACTGGCAGGGAGGGGGCTGTGGGAGACTTCTGATTCCTATGTTTTTTCTTTGTTTTTTTTGTTTTTTTTCCCCTATGTTTTTTCCACTTGCCAAAAAGTACCCATCCTTCTGATGCCGCCCTCTCCAGGAAGCTCTTCCTCCAAGGGCTTATTACCCCAGGGGGCACAGTGGGTCTCAATAGCCCCAAATGCTTGATCTAGGCCAAAATCACGCTCAGCGAATACTCCAGTGTTATTGCTTTTCCCTTCTACCTGATCTCTTGATTTCTGAGGGAAAAAATGTTGATTTATTTGTTCCTTGAGTATTTAAAACATCTTTTAGCTTTATGTATTTCAAAGCTCTGTTGATGGGGGCATAAAGGCTCATGCCTCTTATATCTTTTCAGTGACTTATAAACTTTATCAATGTAAAACATCTCTGTAGTTCATTGGCTTAGCCTTGGGTTCTGTTGTATCGGAAATTATCTGATCTGTAATAATACCCAGCCACTTTCATACTGTTTGCTATTTCTTTACCAATATATATATTTAAATTAAGACAAAATGAAAAGGAATCATGATGCTGATGCTGGAGGGACAAGTCCCTAGTGGGGACTCGAGCCCCAAGCCCAGAGGGTTCTTCACTTTGAGGAAAGAATCCAAGATGCGAGCCAGACAAGAGGTTAAAGTAGAAAAGCAGGTTTTATTGAGCAGAGAGGACAAGCAAGAAAAGCCACTTTACAGATGGGATGGCAGACTCTCCGCACGAGGGAAGGAAGAGAGACCCAACCATCTCTAGAAGTTGAGCTTCTATCTGTCTGTAGTTTCTATGAGAAATTGCTGATATGGGGAAATAGTGGGGAAAAAAGGTCGGGATTAACTTTAACCTTTACAAAGTATATTTTGTGGTCTGTCTTCCCCTTATGGTACGGATAAACGATAAGGTTCAGATGGGTAGCTATTGATCAGTTTTTGCAGGGATTGTCTTTGTCCAGACGCTCTTAGTGGTCTGCTAGCCTCTTTGGTCAGCCAAGCTCCGTGCCAGGCAGCACGTAGCAGGCCCCGGACTTAACTTTGCTGGATGTTAGTTGAGTTGTATAGTTCTCACACCCCTTTCCTATATTACTTAGAAATTACAAAAAAATTAAATTTCTTTACCTACTTCCCTTATTGAAATATCCTTGCTAGAATACTTGTAAAGTAGTAAACTAATTCCATTAACAGTATTACCGATTTCTGTGACTACCAAAAAGTTTTTTATGATTCACTGATATCTCATGGGGACGAAGGCACATCCTGCTTGCTTGAGAGGGTGTTTGAGAACTAGATTATCAGAATTATGTAAGAGCCAGTTCATTTCATGATAAACCCGGTTTAAAGACATCACAACAGCCCTTACCATAATAATCAGTGAGTTTCTTAGAACTCACACCCATTCAATAATCCTTTTTGTGCTCACAGGTGTCAGGTCACCGGCTAAATGTAATATTGAGGAGGTAAAATATTCACAGTGCAGGTGCTCTGTCTACATGTCTGTGTCTCCCACTCCCCCCAATTCATATGTCAAAACCCTAACCCCCAGAGTGATGTTGCTCAGAGGTGGGGCCTTTGAGAGGTGGTTTGGTCCAGCGACCAGAGTGCCCAGGAACGGGATTAGTGCCCTTATAAAAGAGGCCCCAGAGAGCCCCCTCTCCTCTGCTGCCACCTGAGGACACGGAGAGGAGGCGACAGCTATGAACCAGGAAGAGGGCCCTCCCCAGATACTGAATCTGCTGACACCTTAATCTCAGAATCCCGGCCCAGGATGTGAGAAATAAATGTTTGTGGTCGATAAGCTGCCCACTTTGTGGTATTTCGTGATAGCAGCCCAAATGTGTTAGGACACCCAGCAAAGCATTTGACTTGGAAATGTTTTTCCTACGTGTGTTCAGTACGTCCTGTTTCTGCTGATGTTACTTTCAGAATATACAAAGTGGAGGAGAAACTTTATTTTCAGATTTACATAATCTGGGATAGTTTACAAGGCTGTAGACTGATACCTGGAGTAGATGAAATCAACACCAAGTGCGTACCTGCCTTTCTAATGATCTGCTGGCGGGGCTTCTAGAGCCTCACCTGGTCTGTTTCTTCCCTCAACCTTTTATTTTATCTAAAACACTTTTTATTATGGACATTTAAAAGTATACACAGATATAGACGAGTACAAAGAACACCTGACATCTGTCACTCAGCTTAAACAATTATCAACATAGAACCAACCTTTGCTTATTGTTAAATTTATTGGGGTGATATCACTTAATAAAATTATATGGATTTCAAGTGTAAAATTCTATAATACATCATCTGTTTATTTCATTGTCTGTTTACAACCCTAAGTCACATCTCCTTCTATCACCATATATTTGCCCCCCCTTACCCTTTCCTACCTCCCACCCCCTTCCCTCTGGTAACCGCCACACTGTTGTCTGTGTCTACAGAACCGATCTTTAGATCCCTCCATGTCTTTATAATTTTCTCTCATGGAATCTGCCCTTTTAAAATTTTTGCTCTAAGTTCTGATCATGTTTCTGTACCATATCTTCAAGTTTGCCAATTTATTCTTTAGCACTGTCCCTTTTATTATTCAGCCCTTTGTCCAAAAGGTTTTACTTCAGCAATATTTTAAATTTTCAAACACTCTTTCTTGTTCTCTGATTACTCTTTTCCCATATGATTCTTGTTGGAGGATTGTAAACACTTCTGGAAGCTTTCTGAGGATACCAGTTAGAATTTTCCAAGTTGTCTGAAGTTCCCTCTGGAGTCAGTTTCATTTTCTCTGGAGTCAGTTCAGTTTATCCAAATAGATCCTTCTGGTACATGTGTAGATTTTTCTTGAACATTTCTTCATCCTTGGTTGCTGTGTAGTAAAAGGTTAACCGAACAGGCCTAGGGTATTCAAACGTGCACACTCCAAAGAAAGGACTGGCCCTTGACCAGCTCCTAGGAAATGACTTCTGAGTCCTGCCTGAAAAGAGTGTCTTTGTAGACCTGGAGCTTTGTGCCACTCCAGATAGCCTATGCCAACCATGTGATTTATGGTGGAGCCTTGGGTCACATTGTATTGGTTGGACCTCTGGACCACCTAGAGTCTGAGCACTAAGGTCAGTTACATGGGTCCTCCACGCCTATGTGATGGAACCCCTATAAAAACTTCACACACAAAGGCTCAGGCGAGCTTCCCTGGTTGGCAATACTTCATGTGCGTTGTCACAAGTCATTGCTGGCAGAATTCAGCACTGCCCACCTGACTCCACTGAGAGGACGGCTGACAGCTTGCCCCCGGTCTCTCCTGGATTCGGTCCTCTGCCCCTGTTGCATTTGTTGGTGTTCCCTGTATCCAGTCACTGTCATGAACCAGAGCCGTGAGTACAGTAGCTGTTCTAAGCTCTGTGAACCCTTCTCGTGAACCATTGACTCTGAAGATGATCCTGTGGACCCGGCGTGGCTGTCCATTCACATCTATGATTGAAGAGCCAGTTTGTTGACTTTGGTGCCCTGCAGCATTCCCCACAAGAAAGGAAAGCTGCCTGGAGACTTCGTGGAGTTAGTTGGGGCCTGTTGCGGGACAGCAAACAGACAGGGTCAAAAATTAGTGGCCAAATCAGGCCAGCTTTTATTCTGTGGGTACTATAAAGGACCATCACTTTTAACAGAGGTGACACCATGCTAGGGCCCCAATGGGCACTCAATGAGGACTTGTTAGTGTGCTTTTGGGAGTCCTGGCTAAGGGCCACGGCTTTGGTCCTTCCTAGAAGGAGTGCGAAGAAAAAGGGACAGCAAAGAGGGCAGCCAGGATCCCAGAGTTGCAGACAAGAAAGGGATTGTTTGGGTTCACTAATTCATATCAAGGGGTGTAGTTGGGCACCCAGCTCCAGGAGAAACTCAAAGCTGGGGCGCTGTGAGGTCTGATGTTCTCAGCCCTCGGACCCAGGGCGGCCAAGCTGGGAGAAGGTGGCGCCAGGGTTGCTGTTGTTCCCTCTCCCCCAGGGGGCGCCCCAGCGCTGGCCCTGGAGCCGACGAAGCGGAGGGGGAGGCAGGCGGCGGGAGAGGAGCCATGGGCGCTGGCGTTGGGGCGCTGCTGCTGGCGCAGCTGCTGGTGCGAGTCGAACTCCAGATGCAGGGTGAGTTCAGGCAGGAGCTTGGGTGACGGGAGGGATGGGGCGCCTGGGGACCGAGTGGCGCTCACCTTGTCGCCTCACCCCAGGGATGCAGGATCAGAACCAGCTGTTTGCAGGTAAGGCGCCCAAGATGTGTGTTTCCCTGTTCGCGGCACCTAGGCCGGAACGCAGAGGGCGCCAACTCTTTTCATCTCTCTCGCCCCAGGTTTCCAGAACTCCTCGTGGATCACGCGTAACTGACGGGCCCCTGGGGGAGGGGCGGGCGCCTGCAGACCGCGTGGGGGAGGGTCCCCGGCGTCCCCCACTCCTTGGGCTGCAGGACCCCAGTGCGCGCGCTGTTGCCCTGGGCCTGAGGGTGGGCAGCGGGGCCTGTCTCCTGCAGCTCGACCGCATGTCCGTCTGTCCATCCCAGAGCCATGTGGCCACCAGAAGACCCAGCCGCTCATAGTGGGTGGGAAAGACTCGGTTCGCGGGCGCTGGCCGTGGCAGGTCAGCCTGCGGCGCTTCGTAAAGGCCACGTCTGCGCAGGGAGCCTGCTCAGCCTGCGCTGGGTGCTCTCCGCGGCGCACTGCTTCGAGAAGTAAGTCTGGGGGCTGGGGGCGACGGCCCCACGCCCGGGACCCCCGTCTGCACCGGGCCTGTCTTGCACAGATGTGACCCCCGTGTCCTCTGGAGCCTCAGACCCCACTGCAGCTGGTCACACCTATGAATCCCAAAGGTGCCCCTGCAGGGAACCCTGTTCCGTTTTTTCCAGAAGGTTCCAGCGCACATTTGTGTGTCTTGTTCTTTTCTAAAAACTTCCTTGTTCTCTTCTCCCTAAATGGCACCTTAGCCTTCACCTTCCTGGTCCCGCCCTGGGAGCACCCAGGTGGGGGGAATGAGCCGGGGCGGGCGGGTGCTGGGCAGAGCCTGGCCTGTGGCAGCAGTGGCCCCTGAAGCTGGTTTGACTCCACTCTGCCGAGTGGCTCACTTTGGCATCTGTCATCTGCTCATTCTTTTCTGAGGATGGCTCTGAGAGGTGACAGGCTGGTTGAGTGACTAGCCAGATCAGACCACAGGAGGAAGCACCCTTCTGCCCTACCCCCAGCCTCCTAAGTCCCTACTTTCTGGGGCTTTGGTTGTGGCCTCTCTGGATTCTCACCATGTCTTCTCTGGACACCTTGTCGCATATGAAGAACCGCTCATGGTGCCCAGGATGAACCCTAGTAGCACTCCGGGCAGTCTCCCCTTAGAGTGGGCCCCAGGTGTGCTCCCCGGGCAGTCTCCCCTTAGGGCGGGCCCCAGGTGTGCTCCCCGGGCAGTCTCCCCTTAGAGTGGGCCCCAGGTGTGCTCCCCGGGCAGTCTCCCCTTAGACTGGGCCCCTGACTGCTCTCTCCTCCCCTGCCAGGCACAGGGAACCCTCAAAATGGATGGCCCAGTTTGGTGAGCTGTCTTCCAAGCCATCTCTTTGGAACTTGGGGGCCTTCTACCATCGTTCCACCGTGCAGAGCATTATTATATACGCTCATTTCAAGAGGTCTTCGCTCAACGACATCGCCCTGCTCAGGCTGACCTCCTCGGTCACCTACACTAAGTACATCCGGCCCGTCTGTCTCATGTCCTCCTCCTTGGAGTTCCAGAACCGGACTGACTGCTGGGTGACCGGCTGGGGGCACATCCATGAGAATAAGAGTGAGGCTGGGGACAGGTGGGTGGGAAAGACAGCGCCACTATTCTCCAGCCACACCAGCCCCCACCTTGGTCTGTGGGCCCTTCTGGGCCGATGAGTATTCTCTCCCCACCTGCTGTCCACTCCTCCTGCCCCTGAAAGGGCAGGACTTCCCGTTCCCACACTCAGTTCCCTGTCCTCCCCGAGGCTGAGCCAGGAGCCAGCACTGAGAGGACCTGCTTCCCCCACACTTCACTTCTCAGCCTGCAGGGATCTGGGAGATTTGGGGTGGATTTTTCAGAAAGGCCGTAGGCATTGTTTTTTTTAATAATTGAGATTTAATTCATAAACAACGAAATTCACCATTTCAAAGTATATACAATTCAGTAGGTTTTAGTACATACAGTTTGCAACATCACCACCATCTAATTGTGGAACATTTTCGTATCAAAATGAAACCCTGAAACCATTTAACAGTCATTCCCCATCCCCCCTCCCTCCAGCCCTTAGCACCACTAACCAGGTTTTTACCTCTATGGGTTTACCTGTTCTGGAAGTTTTATAGAAATGGGATCATACAATATGTGACTGTTTGTGTCTGGCTTCTTTCGCTGAGCATAATCTTTTTTTTTAATTTATCTTTATTGTTGAGAATATTATAGGTGTCCCATTTCCCCCCCCCCAATTGACCCCCTCCACTTCGCTCCCACCCC